GCGACCCCGGGGCTGTCGTTTCGATCACTCTCAGCTCTGTTTCTGCTTCTCTGAAGGTGGGCGCGTTGTCGTTAATATCCGTGATCTCCACTTCTATTTCATAAAACTTCATTTCCCCTTCCACTATCAGCTCACAGCGCAGCACGCATTTCTCCACCAGCCGGCACAGCTGCTCTCTGTCGATCCTCTCTGCCGTCACTAAATGTCCCGTCTTCCCGTGCAAAGCGAAATACTGCGTCCTGACTTCCGAGACAATTTGAAACCCGCGGTCGCCCAGCTCCAGCAGCTGCAGCCCCAGGTCCTTGGCCACGTCGCCCACGAACGAGCCCTTGGGCATCTCCTCGGGCACCGAGTAGCGCAGCTGCCCCCACGCCGCCTCCCACGCCGCCAGCAGCACGGCCCAGAGCAGAGCTCGCTGCCGCCGGCCCCAGCGCCTCCCCGCCGCGCACATCTCCACAGCGGCTCCGCCGGCACCGCAGCACCGCCGATCCAATCCCGCTGCCGCTCAATGGTCTCAGCTCCTGCACCGAGCGGAGCTGCCGGTGCCTCCGCCTGGCTCCAGAATGGGCCAGCACCGCGGGGACGATCGGGGACCGCAGGTTCGGGCAGGGAGCGGCAACCGAGTGAGCCGATCCGCAGCGGGCGGGGCTGCCGGTAGCGCTCCGAGCTTCCTCTCGCTCCTCTCGGTCAACAGCGGCGCCCGCAGCCTCCTCCCGGCACTGCAGGCACCGAGCGCTGCCCAGCGCTGCCCGCCCGGCCTCGCTCCATACCGGGCACGGTCGCCACCCAGATGTCGCTTTTCGTCCAGCGCCGATCTCTTGCCTCCGCATTTCTCCAGCCCATCTCTGCTTTCATCCTCCAGGGTATCACCATCGGGAGAAGGCAGAGGCATTCCGCGGGTGTGGTTCTTTAATCGCACGGGAAACTCATTACTTTCTAATGCCATTATACGTAAACCAAAATGTATATTTTACCCTGTAGCTAATTATTATTTTATCCTTTTTGTTCAAAAGCACCTTCAACAACAGGCTCCCATAGAGAAAAAGGGAAGATAGCATATCCCGAAGAAAATGAGCTCTCAGGTTTATTAACACAAGCAGGACGAGAGCAATTGCATGGTTCTTGATGTCAGGGGGCCAATTGTTACAGGATTTAATGACGGGTACAAATAAAGATGCAGCTGAAACTCTCAAAGTAAAGTTTCAGGACTTGAAATATTTGACATCCCTTCCTACTGGATGCGCCTAGTATTTCCATAATTTATACAGATTTACATTTAATCAAACCACTGTAGTTTCCCTTTTCTCCAAAATCAATGTCTGAAGCACTAAAGGTCGTTAGTAAACTATTCGTCTAAGTATCTCTTAATGACGGTAGGCTATGTGTTCAAGAAAATAATTATGGGACCGTAGAACAAAAGTACAAGTCTTGAAACTGTGCTGACCACTAATCATTCCTCAAATGGGCTTGACTCCAGTACTTAAACCCCCCTCTGGCCAATCTCCCTGATACGGGAACGCCTCAAATCTCAGACTTCTATCCTAGTTAAAAAAATTCCAAAAATTTTCTGTTGTCGATATATTTGAGATCAACTAAACCCCCCCCCCAACATTATTGTGAGAAGACGACAAAAAAATAAAAATCTCTAAAACAGAAATCTTTCAGCACTCTCACCAGTGTAAAAAATAAAGATCATGAAGAGTAAAACTGAGTGAACTGCCAGCCAGGACACATAAACGAAGCCATCTAGACTCGGTATTGCATTACCCCCAAACCGGCGACAATCTCTTCTATCACTTAGAAAAAAGACTTAAAGGAACGTTCTACATTCATTTTCTTAATAAATCTAATCGGAAAAAAAATGATAACGAACGGGTTTGGCTACAGCTATACACGAGTTCCAAGCACACCTTTCTGAACAAATCAGTCAGGAAAGAAATATCTCCAACATCAAATGTCAGTGCTCTCCTTTTTTTTCCTCGACCCCGTCAGGCAGAATCAGCCACTCTCGTTCCACACACTACGAATCTCCTTTCAATGTTGATAACACATTCTGATTTATAGAGCTCGAGTGCTGAAGACAAAACTTCGAGCCTAAAGCTGAACCTCTGACCAAGGAAGAACCAAGGGCTTCCTGCTCCGCTTGAACGTGGGACAGCCCTTTGATAAATTCAGTTCATCACGGAGAGAGAACTGTGCAACTCAATTAAACATGACTCCGAGAAACAAGGAGAAACACTGAAAAACGCTGCAATTGGCCTAAAGGAGAGTTATCATAAAAACCTGTCATCTGAAGCTATTACTGAAGGAAAATGAAAACCTTCCGCCGCTACATGAGAATGCACACGACGAATACACATTGACACCAGGAAAAACCACGCGGGGAAAAAAACATGACTTTGCGGGAACTTTAAAAAGAGAAGAAGCTCAGGCATTACAGACCTGAGGTGCATCGGGCTCGGCGGGCTGCTCTCCCGCGACGAGGTCGTTGCTGTTCATGCTCGGCTTTCCGCAGAAATCGCCGCCCAGAAGCTCCTCCGCCGACAGGATGGGCACCGGCGGCGGCCAAGCGGCCTCGGGCACGGCGCGGGCGGGCGGCGGCACGCACAGGTTGTAGGAGTAGGGCAAGGTGCCCTCGCAGAAGTCGGCCGGGAAGGCGGCGCCGGCCAGCGAGAAGCGCTGCGCGCCCAGGCAGCGCAGCACGGCGGGCGGCCCGGCCCGGCGCAGCCGCGCCACCACGGCCAGCGCCACGCTCAGCACCAAGAGCGCCGAGAGCAGCGCCAGCGCCAGCACCAGGTAGAACTGCAGCTCGGCCGCCGCCGCCGCCGCCTCGGCGCCCGCCGGCCGCTCGCTCAGCTCCGGCAGCGCCTCCTGCAAGCTCTCGGCCAGCACCACGTGCAGCGTGGCCGTGGCCGACAGCGCCGGCTGCCCGTGGTCCTTCACCACGGCCACCAGCCGCTGCTTGGCCGCGTCCCGCTCGCCCACGGCGCGCGCCGTGCGCACCTCGCCGCTGTGCAGCCCCACGCGGAACAGCGCCGGCTCCGACGCCTGCACCAGCTCGTACGACAGCCACGCGTTGCGCCCCGCGTCCGCGTCCACCGCCACCACCTTGGCCACCAGGTAGCCGGCCTCGGCCGAGCGCGGAACCACCTCGAAAGGCGCCGCCGCCGCCCCTCCCGCAGCCTCTCCCGGCCCGGCCGCCGCCGCGGGCCAGAGCACCCTGGGCGCGTTGTCGTTGCGGTCCAGCACGAAGACGCGCACCGTGGCCGTGGAGCTGCGCGCCGGCGAGCCGCCGTCCTGCGCCCGCACGGCCACCGTGAACTCGCGGCACTGCTCGTAGTCCAAGGAGCGCTGCGCGTACAGCGCGCCGCTCCGCGCCTCCACCGACACCAGCGGCGCCGCGCCCGCCGCGCCCGCGCTGCCGCCCGCCAGCCAGTAGCTCACGCGCCCGTTGGCGCCCGCGTCCGCGTCCCGCGCCTGCACGCGCAGCACCAGCGCGCCCGCCGCGTTGTTCTCCGCCACGTACGCGCTGTACGCCGCCTCCTCGAACACCGGCGCGTTGTCGTTCACGTCCGACACCTCCAGCACCAGCTCCCTGCTGCTCCGCAGCGCCGGCCTGCCCCGGTCCCGGGCCACCACCGACACGCGATGCTCCGACGCCTGCTCGCGGTCCAGCGCGCCCGATGTCACCACCTTGTACGAGCCGCCGGAGGACGCCAGGATCGACAGCGGCGCCTCTCCCGACAGCTCGCACGTCACCTGACCGTTCTCGCCCGAATCAGCGTCGTTCACGTTCAGCACGGCCACCACATTACCGGCCGGCGCGTCCTCGGGCACGGGGCTCGACAGGGACAGAATTCTGATCTCCGGCGCGTTGTCGTTCTCGTCGGTGATGTCGATCTGCACTTCGCAATGATCAGTGAGTCCGCCGCCGTCCGTCGCCTCCAAGCCAAAAATGTATATCTTTTCCTTCTCAAAATCGAGTGGACCAACCGTCCTGATCTCTCCACTCTCGCTGTCGATAGTGAACACTGAGGGCACTTCATCTTGGATGTTGCCAAAGGAGTAGGACACTTGCCCGTTTGAGCCTACATCCGCATCCGTGGCCCGCACACTCAGCACCAGAGATCCCGCCTGCAGATTTTCCGGCACTCGAGCCTCGTAGACGCTTTTGCTGAACACGGGCGGATTGTCATTTGCGTCTGTCACGTTGACGTGAATCAGGACAGTCCCAGACCTGGTAGGTTCCCCACCGTCCACTGCTATCAGCACCAGCTCAAAGGAGCTCTGCTTCTCCCGGTCCAGCGGTCTCTCCAGTACTAATTCCGGATGCTTCCTTCCACCCAGCTTTTCTTTCACTGACAGTGAGAAGGACGGGTCGCTCGTGAGTTGATAAGTCAGCAGCGAGTTGCTGCCTACGTCTGCATCTCGGGCCATTTCCAAAGGAAAACGAGCACCGGGAGGGATTAATTCACCGATCTCGAGGTCCAGAACAGATTTGCTGAAAACTGGGGAGTTGTCATTCACGTCCACAATGGAAACCTCGACTTCAAAAACGTTCAGCGGGTTCTGCACCAGCGCCTCGAAGCTGACAGAGCAGGTCGCCGACTTGCCGCACATCTCCTCCCGGTCCAGCCTCTCGTTCACGTACAGGTTCCCGTTCTCCTCATTCACCGTGAAGTATTGCTTCTCCTCGCTCAGCCGCAGCTTGCGCGCCGGCAGCTCGTCCGCGCTGAGCCCCAGGTCCCGCGCCAGCGGCCCCACGAGCGAGCCTCTGCCCAGCTCCTCGGCGATGGCGTAGCGGACCCGCTCGGCCGCCGCCCGGCACCACACGCACAGCAGCAGCAGCAGCGCGCCCAGCAGCGCTCGCCCGCCGCCCGGCCCAAGCCTCTGCCGCCGCCTCACCGCCATTCTCTGCCCGCTGCGCTCGCCGCGCTCCTGCCTCCTGCCGCTGCCCTGCCTCCCTTCCGGCCGCTCTCGCCGACCACAACAGACACCGCTCAAAGGCACCCACACCGCTCGGGCCGCCTCTCGCCGCCGCCGCCGCTGCTGTCGGTGCCGCTGCCGCTGCGGCCGGCGCCGGGCGAGCGAGCAGCCTGCGGGGGCAGGACGCTGCGGCGGCGGCGGCTCCAGCGGCGCTCGGCGGCGGCCAACAGCGACACCCGGAGGCGCCGCCGCGACACTGCAGCCGCCGCACGGCCGCGCTCAAGGCCGCCCGGCTTTGGGCGGGGCTCAGCGCCTGCACCGGCCCCGGGGGCTCTCCCCGACCAAAAACACCGAGAGCGGGAGCTCTGTCCTTAATTCCACTCCAAAGCCTTTCTATCTGAGATGTGCTGACGGGTGCTTTTTAGGGCATTCTTAGGAGTCAAATTGAACAGTAAGAAGCAAATATATATTTCAGGGGTGTAAAGAATGGAATTCAGCTACTCTTCATAAAAAGACGGCGCATCTACAGCAGCAATAAAGGATAATATAGGGAAGACCTCAAAAGCTTTTTCTCACTTTCTCCCATGAATTGTTATTCATTATGTTTTTCATTAATTGAGATGAATTAGATGAAGATACAGATCAGCCTAAAGCAATGCAAGCATACCCTATCCCAACATAGCAGAATTACATTTACTCCTTTCTTTCTGACTCATTAACGTTGCTTCATTTACATCTCCATATCTGTGTGTGTGACAATGGAAAACGCAATGCAACGCTGTGTCCTTCATAGAGTCAAACAATATTATCAGTTCTCAAGATAAACTTTCTCTAAAGGCCATGTAATCCACACCTTTCACATGAAAAGTAGCACTTCCGGCTAGACTTGTATGTTGGAGGCACGTCCAAAACTTCTTTGGGCAATATCTTCCCTTTTATCCCAACTCACACTGAAAGTCTTTTTGCTCATCAAAACTGCCCTTGTCATAGTTAAAAACATTGTTGGCATTTCTACAAAAGCTGACCCAGGAAAAGAGAGCTCAGTCCATATTTACTATAAACTTATTCATAACTGAAAGAGCAAAACAATATTTGAAATGTCTACACAGACGTATCGTTTCTGTGTGATTGAAGACACAAACTACTTCAGTCATTCATCATAACAGAGATGTTCCAACCCTCAGGCAACTTCCATGATCCTTCTGGGAACTCTAGACTGTCTATTTGGGATACTGGCCAAAGATCTCCATGCAGTCTCTGCACTGACAAAAAGAGTCCAGAGGAGGGAAGGAAATCCCTCAACCTGCCAGGCAGAGTGCTTGTCATGCAGTGCAGAGCACAATTCCAGCAGCAGGTGCCCATGGGCACCTCATGCCCCACCTCATCACCCACCAATAACCCAAACCACTTCTCTGCAAAGCTCTTCCCTATCCCCCACACTCTCGGCAAACTGGGAATTGCCCCACCCCAGCTGCAGGACCTTGCACTTTGATCCATTCCATGATGGCTGCACGGGGCCACTTCTCCAGCCCATCCCTGGCTGCCATCTCTGCCCTGCAGTCAATCAGCTCCAATCGGTGTCAGCTGCAAATTGCCTGAAGGTGCCTCAATCCCATTGGCCATGCAGGTGCTGAACAGAACTGGGCCCAGTCAGGGCCCTGGAGGGACAGCACAAGTCACTGCTTTGCACCTGGACATGGAGCCACTGTCTGCAACTCTCTGCAGGTGACTCTCCAGCCTGTTCCTCAGCCATCTGACAGCCTCCAGCTGATTGCCCAGCAGGTTCCTCTGGGTGATGGCCCGGGGGACACTGCACACCTTCTCCCACCGGGCCCGGCTCTGTCCATGCAAACCTTGGCTGGCCTGGGTGGTCACTCTGCACTTGGACAGCTGCAGCAGAGATGATCCTGCATGATTACACCACAGACAAAATGTTCCTGGCTGAGCACACCAGGAGTGCTTGTGAAACCCTTCCTCTGTGCACCTGGAAATATCCCAGGGGTGTGTGGGAACTGCACCTGCACTCGGGCAGCTGGCACAGAGGAGACCTTCCACAGGAGATCAGACACCCTGAGCCTGAGCTCATGACAACAAGCACTGCAAGAGCCAGAAAAACATGGAAATGGACAGATGCAATAACATTTTGTAGGTCTGCCTTGCTCTACAGAAGCAACTCAAATCCCACTGGACTACATCAGGCACAGCCTGGTGTTATCTGTGACATGTGACAAGCAAGGCAATGACCCAGTTCTTCTCCAGCCTCCTACACAGAGCTCCCCTCTCTGCTTTTTCTTCCATGCCAGGCCACTGTGAGGTTTTGCTCGTGGCCATCTCCTCACTGCTCAAATCCATCATGAGATGATAATGCACTGCAGCCACACCCAGAAGGGAGGGACAATTGTCTGCTCACCATCATTATGATAAGGAACTGAAGGATTCTAGAGCACACAAATGATAAACAATCATAATAAAAAATCAACAGTCGTGCAACTGAGAATGGCTCATGAAACCATTGGCTTAGGGGGACTCTTCTCCCCATCCTTATCACATGCTCTGTTCCACAGAGAGGCAAAATCTACTAAAGTCATATTTACCTCTATTTCTCCCAACAGGAACAGGAAGAAAAGTCATTCCAATATCTCCTTCCTTCCACTCCCACTGCAACAAGAACAAGGGACATCAACACACCATACATTACTCACAAAATGTTGGATTGTTGATAATAAGAATACCCACATACTGAGTAAATCAAGGGAAATGAAACAAAGCAAAAAACCCACAGAAAATCCAAACACATGAATCAGATCAGGCAAGGAAGCATTAAAAGACAACCAGAAGTCAGAGACTCCCAGTGTCAAGTCTTCTAGGCCTTTATTGCAGGCCTTAAATTTCATACCTGAGAGCACCTGGAAGTCACTGAGAAGCTGCACGTGTGTGGCCCTCAGGACTTGCATGGGACAATAGCACAGCAGGTTCATTTGAAGAATCAGTCATCTCCTCAGTAACTATTTCTACTGCATGGCCTGCTCACCTTGCACAGTTATAAACCCATCTTTCTAATAAGCTTCTCATTGGCCTCTTTCTCAAGGTAAATTTTCTGACAAATTACAACAGATTCTCTTCTGGCTTCTCCTTCATAGCCCCCACACACTGTTCAAGCTGAAGTGATTGAAGTAAGGATGTGATGAAAAACCACAGCCACTGTCTCCTATTTAAAATACTGACCAGGAATGTGAAAATGAGTTGCAACCTTCCTAAAGACAAAGCCCTGAATGAAAATGTAATTACAATTCTGAAGAAACTCTATATCACAGTGTGGCATAGAGATACAGATAATGGAGCTTTCACACAGGATTAATCAGCTCTTCCACCCAACAAGTATGGTTCAACATGAACAGTTGCTGTGGAAACTGTTCCTCTTGGAGGACTGACATTGTCTTTCATGACAGAGACACCAGGATCAGAACACCAATGGCACTGCCTTTGGCACAAAGCATGAAATCAAACCATTTCTCTGCCAAACCCACACTGAATCCCCCATTTGCCTGGCACAGAACTGAGCTCTCACCCTCCTCACTCTGCATTCACAGCCTTCAGTTTCACCATCAACACCAACCACAGTTTTGGTTCCATGTTGGCCACAGAGAAAACAACACCTTGGGGAAACATCCATTCATGAAGTTTTATTTGTTGAATGAAATATTCAAGGTCAGGCTGGTTGGGGCTCTGAGCCACCTGCCCTGGTGGAAGATGTCCCTGCCCATGGCAGAGCAGCTGGAAAAAGAGGATCCTTAAGGTCCTTTGCAACACAAACCATTCTCTGATTCTGGGTTTCTAGAATAATATGATTACATGTACAGCTTCAAGTGATGGATGAGACATACTCTCCCTACGGGACAATTCTATGTTTTGGAGTTTGCAGGATTACCAGACACTGTGAGGATCAACTGTACTCGTTGACAAAAATACAAGCAAACCAACAAAGAACCCACAAACCCCAACACAAACAAATCAACCAAAAAAACATTATCAACTCTGCCAAGAATGGAAAACACTAGAAGAGTATCCATCATGGCCTCACATTGCAGATTGGGTCAACTGCAGTATATGCACAACCCAGCAAACTGGACTGAAACCCATACACAGGGGCCTCACACAGGAGTCACTACACAGGCCCCAGGCTGTCATTTCCTTGGATAGTAAGAGGAACAAAAATCTTAGAACCACAGCTAGCGACCTCATCTAAATATCAGGACAAATAGAATTGGACAAAATTCATTCATTCATTTTGAATTGAATCACACTGAACTCCAGCACCAGCCCTGTCTCTCCATACACAGACTTCTTCTCTCTGGTCAAACATAACATGGAAGCAAACTCTGCATACAGACATCATTACATGAAAGTTGTGTGCAGATCTTCTCAGAGCCCAAGCATCACAACTAAGGTTATTCTACTCTGTCATAGTACTTCAACAAGAGGGAAATGTAACAAAGGCCATAAATTATTTCCAGCTCTGTCAATCACCCACACATCCAAGAATCACCTCAAAGGCATCATCACCATTCTTCAGCACATGGACTCCTCAAGGATGTGGGACTTCCACTCTGATGCAAAGGAATATGGAACCCAAACTAGGCCATTTCAGTCCAAACCACACAACTGAAAATCATACGACTCCTCCTGACTCATTTTCAGAAGGCCAGCAATAGCCCTGGGGATCAACAACACACATGCCATGTCTCCACCAGCACCTCCTCACACACCACACAACCAACACTTCCATGTAAACCCGTCACAGCTCCCATGGTTAGAAGAGACCTTCAGAATGTAGAGAGGCTCTACCAAGAGGAAAGTTGCTCAGACAGTATCTACTTACTATTGCCAATATTAGACATCTCACCCTAGCCATGGGAAAAGAAAAAGCATTTATTACAGAGACATTTTCAAAAACATGTCTATGGAAGTTTCTCCCTTTTCACCTATAACCGTGAAGGAACGATCCTCGGATCATCAGAAGAATGAGACAGAAAGTTAACACCTGCAGAATTGAACAGCTCAAAACTCTCTTCTGGATTATATAACTCAGAGTATATGATTAATAATGTTGTTTATAGGCACTGAACACAGAGCTTGCAATTCCCATACCACATATAAGTACAAAATTAAGCTTTGCATTGACACCATTACTATGACCAACAAATACTTATTGTGAACGTGCAGGGTTCTCCATGCAGCTGGAATACAGATTTTCTAAACAATTATTTGGGGAGAAGAACTCCACATTCCTTCATGCTAGAGATAGAAACTGGACAGGGAATGAAGGAAAACATTCTCTTGAGTTATTCAGCAGACATTCACACACAGCTCACAGCACTCAGATTTCCTACCCTTCACACCATCCATGCTGTCCTTTCACGCAGGTAGCTTAAAAGCATGTGACATTGGGGGCCCATTTCTCCAGACCATTTCTCTTCCCAGCACCAATTTCACACAGCTGTCTGTACATCTCTGTGCTATGGAAACTACATTTGCTGCTAACTGAAGTTCTGTGAAGAGACTTGAGAGGTCTTAAAGGAAAACCTGAGCAGTCTTTCAAGAGACACTGACTCAGTGAATATCTGCTCACAGGGAATTATGCCCACCTTGTATCTCCCACTGCACCTCGAATCTTTCCTTCCCATCCAGGCAATTCTACTGCCATGCTAAATACTTTCTACCCAAGAACCCTCCAGCTCCTTCTGACATAGTTCTAACTTAAAAAACAAGAAACAACCAAAGCAGTTCTGCCATTTCCTCCTCCACATGCAGCCATACACAGCCTTTTTGAAGAATCACAACTTCAAGAGGATTCTTCATCCCTATAATAGACAGACGAACATCATCAAGGACCACTTCTTGCCTGGTCCCATCCTCTCTTGGCAACAAAAACAAACGCACCAATGACACAAACACTTTTCCTGCTACCTACACTATGTATCATAGCGATAAACGAGAGCAATAAAGGCAGAGAACAGTGTGCACAGAGGTTCCACACAAAGCCATGAGAATTTTGTTCACGACACATTCTACCTCTTAAAGCACACTTGCTGTTGGGAAGACACATAAACCATCTAAAAACTGTTATTTCCTAATACCATGATCCATCCCTTCAGAAAGGCTAACGCTACCAGGAACACAGATTCTACACAGCACAGCTGATATAGTAGAAAGAGTACATGAAACAGGATCAAATTCCCAAACTCCGACCTCACCAACAAGGTGCCAACAGCAGCCTTATCGCTCTTTCCTTCTTCACATACTGGAAGGCTAAGGATTCACCCCATGTTCACATACTGACAGCAATGGGCAACAAAACCTCAGAACTACACCAATGCAACCCTTACCATGCTTTTAGACAAAGTGTCCTATGAAAAATAGAACACACGGCGGGGGAAAGGTCAGGGCAGTCTCAGGAGAATACGTCGAGGAGAAAACCTGCACAGAGGAACTCACCGAGGAAGGGGCGGAGTCCGAGGGGAGGGCGCCGGCCGCGTCCCCGTCCCCGAGCAGCGGCGCGGGCTCGTCGGGCGGCGGCCGGGCCGGGAGGGTGTCGCAGCAGCTGGCGGCCGAGAAGCGCAGGTGGCTCTTGCGCGAGTCGGCCGTGAGCGACACGTCGTGCGAGTAGGACCGCAGGAAGGCGCGCACGCCGTCGATGCCCACGAAGTGCGAGACGGGCACGCCGCGCGAGGCGCCGCCGTCCGGCGGCAGCAGCTGCCGGCGGTGGCAGCGGCGCAGGCGCAGCGCCAGCAGCAGCAGCAGGAAGGCCACGAAGAGGCACGAGACGGCGGCCACGGCCAGCACGAGCCAGCGCGTCAGGCTGGCGGCCGGCTCGCCCGGCGCCGCCGCCTCGTGCGCCGCGCCGCCCAGCTCGGCCAGCAGCTCGGCCACGCTCTCGGCCAGCACCACGCTCAGCGTGGCCGTGGCCGACAGCGCCGGCCGCCCGTGGTCCCGCACCAGCACCACCAGGCTGTGGCGCGCCGCGTCGCGGGCCAGCGGCGAGCGCGCCGTGCGCACCTCGCCGCTGTGCGGCCCCACGCGGAACAGCCCCGGCTCCGTCGCCTTGGCCAGCTCGTACGACAGCCACGCGTTCTGCCCCGCGTCCGCGTCCACCGCCACCACCTTGGCCACCAGCGCGCCGGCCTCCGACCAACGCGGCGCCAGCTCCACGCCCGACCACGCCGCCGCTGCGGCCGCCGGCGGGTACAGCACCTGCGGCGCGTTGTCGTTCTCGTCCACGATCTGCAGCCGCACCGACACGTTGCTGCTCAGCGCCGGCGCGCCGCCGTCCTCCGCCCGCACGCACAGCTGCAGCTCGCGCACCTGCTCGTAGTCCAAGGAGCGCAGCGCGTACAGCGCGCCCGTCTCCGCCTGCACCGACACGTACGACGACAGCGGCGCGCCCCGCATCCGCCCCTCCGCCAGCCGGTAGCGCACGCGCGCGTTCTGCCCCCAGTCCGCGTCCGTGGCGCGCACCGTCAGCACCAGCGCGCCCGCCGCGTTGTTCTCCGCCAGCCGCGCGCTGTAGCGCTCCTCCGCGAACACCGGCGCGTTGTCGTTCACGTCCAGCACCCGCAGCGCCACCACCGCGCTGCTCTGCAGCGACGGCGACCCGCCGTCGGCCGCCCGCACCGTCACGTTGTACTCCGACACCTGCTCCCGGTCCAGCTCTCTCGCTGTCACCACACGGTAGTAGTCTTCATAGGACTTCTCCAGCCGGAACGGGACGCCCCCGTCGAGGGAGCAGCGCAGCTTGCCATTCACCCCCGAGTCCCGGTCCTGCACATGCAATAGGGCCACAACAGTTCCCGACGGGGCGTCCTCCGGGATCTCGTTAAGCTTTGATGATACTGTCAGTTCAGGCGCATTGTCGTTCACATCCGTCACGGTGATCGTGACTTTTGCTGTGTCGAAAAGTGCTCCACTGTCATGTGCCCGCACCTCCAATTGGTACAAATTGCCTTCTTCGAAATCCAGGGTCCGCAACAGCTCGATGGTTCCAGTTTCAGTATTCAGATGGAAAATACTCGATGTCACGTCGTTCCCTTTCTTCAAAGAGTATTTCACGTGCCCATTTAGACCCTCGTCGGCGTCCGTGGCCTTGACAGTCACGAGGACAGAGCCCACGGGCACGTCCTCGGGCACACGCACCGTGTACTCCGCCTGGCTGAACACGGGCGCGTTGTCGTTCGCGTCCAGCACCGTCACGCGGATCCGAGCCGTGCCCGTCCGTGCCGGATCGCCGCCGTCCATCGCCCTCAGCACCAGCTCGTGAAACGCCGCCTCCTCCCGGTCCAGCGCCTTCGCCAGCACCAGCTCGGGACGCTGATCGCCGCCGGGGCCCGCCTGCACGGCCAGCGAGAAGTGCTCGTCACCGCTCAGCTCGTAGCTCTGCAGCGAATTCCTGCCCGAATCAGGATCATGAGCGTCTGGCAGGGGAAAGCGAGATCCTGGGGATGTCGTTTCGCTCATTCTCAGCTCTGTTTCTGCCTCTGTGAAGCTCGGCGCGTTGTCGTTAATATCCGTGATTTCTATTTCGATTCCATAAACCTGCATCTCTCCCTCCACTATCAGCTCACAGCGCAGCACGCATTTCTCCACCAGCCGGCAAAGCTGTTCTCTATCAATCCTCTCTGCCGTCACTAAATGTCCCGTCTTCCCGTGCAGAGAGAAGTACTGAGTCCTACCCCTTTCCGTGATGTGAGCGCCGCCCTCTAATAGCGCCGGCTGCTGAAGCCCCAGGTCTTTGGCTACATCGCCCACGAACGAGCCCTTGGGCATCTCCTCGGGCACCGAGTAGCGCAGCTGCCCCCACGCCGCCTCCCACGCCGCCAGCAGCACGGCCCAGAGCAGAGCTCGCTGCCGCCGGCCCCAGCGCCTCCCCGCCGCGCACATCTCCACAGCGGAACAGCCTGAACCGCAAACACGTCGGCCGCTCCCCGCCTGTCACGCCGCCGGTCCTGCTCCCTCTCTGCTCTCCACCCGCTTCCTCCGGCACCGCTGCCTCTCCGCAGGAAGGCGACGATCCCAGACCTCTCGGTCTCCGAGCCTAATAGGAAGCGAGCGATCGAGCCGATCCGCAGCGGGCGGGGCTGCCGGGAGCGCTCCGAGCTTCCTCTCGCTCCTCTCGGTCAACAGCGGCGCCCGCAGCCTCCTCCCGGCACTGCAGGCACCGAGCGCTGCCCAGCGCTGCCTTGTACACGGACGGGAAGGAGACATTCGCCGCACGCACCTCCTGCTTTTGTCCAGTCGGTCTCTCCTTCTGTGGTCGAACACATCACGACCGTGAGGAAAGCAGAGGTGTGTCGTGAGCAGGGTGCTTTTAACTCGCAGAAAAATATAATTTGCTATCGGCGATGTAGATAAAGGAAATGTCTTAGTCCTATCAATCTAAAAACACGAGTTGAAGCCGTGTAGCTTGATTGATTGGTAGGACAACAGCAAAACAAAAGAGGTTCACAAATACAATACGCGATGATCAAACACAGAATTCTGCCCGTAGGAGTAGCGGAGATAGACTCATTAACCCAACGGCAGGAACTTTGCCTTAAATTCTCGGGTTCATACAGGAGACGGTCTAAATTAGCTACTGCACTATGAGTGACTAAGAAGAGGCATTTAAAGGCGGAAGAAGGTGAGGTCTAACACAGCCCCTTACAAATACCATGAAGTTTAATTGCTCAGGCACCTCCCAAGTGCTCTGGGATGTCTCCCTATAAGACATTCGTGTGAACAGAGGACAGGAGGAGAACCCCTGGGTACTCAAAGCTCATTATCTCTCACCCCCGGATCTCAGACTGTGGGTCCGTGGAGCACTTTTCGCTGACTGTACTACACCTGACAAGGAATCAGGAAGTATCTGCAGTGAACCTTGCCAGAATAATGTAATGTAATACACACTTACATTTAATAAGTCGTTCTGTAGCAACGAGAAAGGGCTTTCATGTTCTCAAGACCCAAGGTGCAATGAACAGAAGCTTGTTAGCAAGGTACTAATCCTTCCTTATTCACCTTGGTACGACACATTTTCAACAAGATACTGTAGATGAATAGGAGAAGAGGTGGATGCCCTGAACACTGGGGATAACCGTGGATAATTTATCCATGTGGATAAATGGATAATGGATAAATGGATAAATGGACTTGGTTCAAGTACTTAAATCGTTCTTTTGGCAGATCTCTCTGACATTTGATAGAAATTCTCCCGATCTCTCCTGTCTATCCTTGTAAAAACCGATGCAAGAACTATTGAGAATAAAGGGCTGACAATTTAAATAAGGAACAAAGTAGCTTCTCTTTCTGTAAAAAGCAGAGAGAAAGAAAACTAGCTTTTTTTTCACACTTTCTACACTTTCACTTGTGAATGCAAGAAAGATCAGAAATGTTAAAAAAGATTGAATTAACACACAAGATGGAAAACCACTGTTAACAACAGCTAAATGCTCCTACTACTATTCATTTCGACAGCAGAATTCCCAAAGAATTAGCAACATTCTCGTCTTTCACAACTGGTGGATTGCCTGACATTCTCTCCAGTCAACTAACCCCACTCTCAGGTTGCCTTTAAGAGTAAATAAAACAAAAGGAAGAATTAGCTTTGTATCCTGCCATCCAACCAAATCCATGAGCACAATATGTAGAAAAAAAATCGATTAGGAAAGAAGAATCCCCAGCATCAAGTGTCAATTTTGTTTTACCCAAATCCGTCATAGACATACAGTGGATTTTCCTCTCTGGAGTGAGGATTCGCGTTTACCATTACTACTAATACAAATTAAACACAACGTGAAACAACTAGGCAACAACTACGATTAAAACCTGAAACAGATACCACCAAAAAACCAATTATTACAGGCAATAAAGGGAGGGAGGAGTGATCCAGCCTTATCATCCCGTCAGGCAGAGACACAGCAGCACAATTCACTCATATAATGTGGGGGAATAAGAGGAAAAAAGCACAACGCTTCGAAACGGCTCAAAAACAACAACGGCAACATGCAGATTAACAGACCTGAGGTGCGTCGGGATTGGCGGGCTGCTCTCCCTCGACAGCGCTGCTTTTGGAGGTCGGTATCCCCAAGGGCTCCCCACTCAGAAGCTCCTCCGCCGACAGGACGGGCACCGGCGGCGGCGGCGGCGGCCAAGCGGCCTCGGGCACGGCGCGGGCGGGCGGCGGCACACACAGGTTGTAGGAGTAGGGCAAGGTGCCCTCGCAGAAGTCGGCCGGGAAGGCGGCGCCGGCCAGCGAGAAGCGCTGCGCGCCCAGGCAGCGCAGCACGGCGGGCGGCCCGGCCCGGCGCAGCCGCGCCACCACGGCCAGCGCCACGCTCAGCACCAAGAGCGCCGAGAGCAGCGCCAGCGCCAGCACCAGGTAGAACTGCAGCTCGGCCGCCGCCGCCTCGGCGCCCGCCGGCCGCTCGCTCAGCTCCGGCAGCGCCTCCTGCAAGCTCTCGGCCAGCACCACGTGCAGCGTGGCCGTGGCCGACAGCGCCGGCTGCCCGTGGTCCTTCACCACGGCCACCAGCCGCTGCTTGGCCGCGTCCCGCTCGCCCACGGCGCGCGCCGTGCGCACCTCGCCGCTGTGCAGCCCCACGCGGAACAGCGCCGGCTCCGACGCCTGCACCAGCTCGTACGACAGCCACGCGTTGCGCCCCGCGTCCGCGTCCACCGCCACCACCTTGGCCACCAGGTAGCCGGCCTCGGCCGAGCGCGGAACCACCTCGAAAGGCGCCGCCGCCGCCCCTCCCGCAGCCTCTCCCGCCGCCGCCGCCGCCGCCACGGGCCAGAGCACCCTGGGCGCGTTGTCGTTGCGGTCCAGCACGAAGACGCGCACCGTGGCCGTGGAGCTGCGCGCCGGCGAGCCGCCGTCCTGCGCCCGCACGGCCACCGTGAACTCGCGGCACTGCTCGTAGTCCAAGGAGCGCTGCGCGTACAGCGCGCCGCTCCGCGCCTCCACCGACACCAGCGGCGCCGCGCCCGCCGCGCCCGCGCTGCCGCCCGCCAGCCAGTAGCTCACGCGCCCGTTGGCGCCCGCGTCCGCGTCCCGTGCCTGCACGCGCAGCACCAGCGCGCCCGCCGCGTTGTTCTCCGCCACGTACGCGCTGTACGCCGCCTCCTCGAACACCGGCGCGTTGTCGTTCACGTCCGACACCTCCAGCACCAGCTCCCTGCTGCTCCGCAGCGCCGGCCTGCCCCGGTCCCGGGCCACCACCGACACGCGATGCTCCGACGCCTGCTCGCGGTCCAGCGCGCCCGATGTCACCACCTTGTACAAGCCACCGGGGGACGCCACGATCGACAGCGGCACCTCTCCCGACAGCTCGCACGACACCTGACCGTTCTCTCCCGAGTCTGGGTCGTGCACGTTCAGGAGAGCCACCACGGTGCCGACCGGCGAATCCTCGGGCACTGGGTTCGACACAGACAGAAGCGTAATCTCTGGTGGGTTGTCGTTAATATCCAGCACTTCCACTTCCACCCTGCAGTGCGAAACCAGACCGCCTCCGTCCCTTGCCTCCACCAACAACGTGTAACATCTCGTCTCCTCGAAATCGAGCGTCTCTTTTAGCGTGATCGCCCCAGTCTCGGCTTCTATAAAGAATTTCTGGAGTACCTTGGCCAGCGTTTCCCCGAAGCCGTAGATGATGTGGGCGTTAGTGCCGGCATCGGCATCGGAGGCAGAGACATTAAATACAACCATTCCCGGAGGCGTGTCCTCGCGGAGGCTGACGCGGTACCGGTCCTGCGCGAACACGGGTGGGTTGTCATTGGCGTCGGTGACGTTGATCCACAGCTGGGCGGTGCCAGTCCGGGGCGGGTCTCCGCCATCCAGCGCAGTCAGCACCAGTTGGAGGCTAGGCTCATCCTCTCGGTCCAGCGCGTGGTGAAGCACCAGCTCCGCGAACTTACTGCCATCCTGGCTCTCCTTCACCTCCACCACAAAATACTTATTGGTCTCCAGCTCGTAGCACTGCAGCGAGTTACTGCCCACGTCCGCGTCGTCAGCCATGCCCACGGCAAAACGGGCACCGGGGGAAGTAAACTCGTTCATCTCCAGCTGAAATTTGTCCTGTCGAAAACGCGGTGCGTTGTCATTCACGTCCTCTATGTCCACCTGGACGTGGAAAACGTTCAGCGGGTTGTGCACCAGCACCTCGAAGCTGACGGAGCAGGTCGCCGACTCGCCGCACATCTCCTCCCGGTCCAGCCTCTCGTTCACGTACAGGTTCCCGTTCTCCTCATTCACCCTGAAGTATTTCAGCTGCTTCTTGCCGCCAGACGCCACCTGCAGCTTGCGCGCCGGCAGCTCGTCCGCGCTGAGCCCCAGGTCCCGCGCCAGCGGCCCCACGAGCGAGCCTCTGCCCAGCTCCTCGGCGATGGCGTAGCGGACCCGCTCGGCCGCCGCCCGGCACCACACGCACAGCAGCAGCAGCAGCGCGCCCAGCAGCGCTCGCCCGCCGCCCGGCCCAAGCCTCTGCCGCCGCCTCACCGCCATTCTCTGCCCGCTGCGCTCCTGCCTCCTGCCGCTGCCCTGCCTCCCTTCCGGCCGCTCTCGCCGCCCACAACAGACACCGCTCAAAGCCACCCACACCGCTCGGGCCGCCTCTCGCCGCCGCTGCCGCTGCGGCCGGCGCCGGGCGAGCGAGCAGCCTGCGGGGGCAGGACGCTGCGGCGGCGGCGGCTCCAGCGGCGCTCGGCGGCGGCCAACAGCGACACCCGGAGGCGCCGCCGCGACACTGCAGCCGCCGCACGGCCGCGCTCAAGGCCGCCCGGCTTTGGGCGGGGCTCAGCGCCTGCACCGGCCCCGGGGGCTCTCCCCGACCGAAAACACCGAGAGCGGGAGCTACTGCTTAATTCCACTCCAAAGCCTTTATATCTGAGATGTCCTGACGGGTGCTTTTTAGGGCATTCTTATGAGTCAAATTGAACAGTTAGAAGCAAATATATATTTCAGGGGAGTAAAGAATGGAATTCAGCTGCTCTTAATAAAATCACAGTCCATCTACAGAAGCAATAAACGGTAATATAGGGAAGATTTCAAGACCTTTTTAATACTTTGTCACGAGTCTTGAATTGTTAATCATTATGTTAGTCCTTTGTTGAGATGAGTTAATTTCAGATATACCTCAGCCTAAAGCAATGTAAGAATCCCCTATGCCAAGATAGCATAATAACATTTACTCTTTTCCTTCCGACTCGTTAAAGTTATTTCATCTGAATCTCCATATCTGACTGGCTGACAATGGAAAGCGCGAAGCAACGACGAGTCCTTCACAGAGCCAAACAATATTTTCGGTTTCAAACCTAAATTTTTTTAAAGGCCATTTAATCCACAGCTCTGCCATAAGCAGGAACACGTCCTGATAGACTTGAATGTTGGATACACGTCTAAAAATTCTTTGGGCAACATCTTCCATTTTGACACAACACACACTAAAAAGATTTCTCCTAATCAAAAACTACCTGCTTTTAGTGGAAAACAACAGTCTGCTGTCCTATGATCACAGCGTCTCATTAAAAGAGTTTACCTCATACTTCCTACAAGCTTGTTTATAAATAATTTCAGAGGTCTACACAGAGGGATCATTTCTCTATGCTTGAATAACTACACTCCTTCAGTTCTTCTGCATTGCAGACAACCGTTGGGCCGTTGGGCCACTTTCATGATCCTTCTGGGAAATCTAGCATGTCCATTCAGATATTGGCACAAGATCTGCATTCAGTCTGTGCTCTCACAAAAAGAGATTAGAGGAGAGGAAGGACCTGCCTTAACATGCAGGGCAGAGTGCTTGTCATGCAGTGCAGGGCACAATTCCAGCAGCAGGTGCCCATGGGCAGCTCATGCCCCACCTCATCACCCAACAATGACCCAAAGCACTTCTCTGCAAAGCTCTTCCCCATCCCCCACTCTCTCTTTCAACTGGGGATTGCCCCACCCCAGCTGCAGGACCTTGCACTTTGATCCATTTCATGATGGCTGCACGGGGCCACTTCTCCAGCCCATCCCTGGCTGCCATCTCTGCCCTGCAGTCAATCAGCTCCAATCGGTGTCAGCTGCAAATTGCCTGAAGGTGCCTCAATCCCATTGGCCATGCAGGTGCTGAACAGAACTGGGCCCAGTCAGGGCCCTGGAGGGACAGCACAAGTCACTGCTTTGCACCTGGACATGGAGCCACTGTCTGCAACTCTCTGCAGGTGACTCTCCAGCCTGTTCCTCAGCCATCTGACAGCCTCCAGCTGATTGCCCAGCAGGTTCCTCTGGGTGATGGCCTGGGGGACACTGCACACCTTCTCCCACCGGGCCCTGCTCTGTCCATGGAAACCTTGGCTGGCCTGGGTGGTCACTCTGCACTTGGACAGCTGCAGCAGAGATGATCCTGCATGATTACACCACAGACAAAATGTTCCTGGCTGAGCACACCAGGAGTGCTTGTGAAACCCTTCCTCTGTGCACCTGGAAACATCCCAGGGGTGTGTGGGAGCTGCACCTCCACTCGGGCAGCTGGCACAGAGGAGACCTTCCACATGAGATCAGACACCCTGAGCCTGAGCTCATGACAACAAGAAATGCAAGAGTCAGAAACACATGGAAATGGACAGATGCAATAACATCTTCTAGGTCTGCCTTGCTCTACAGAAGCAACTTAAATCCCACTGGACTCCATCAGGCACAGCCTGGTGTTATCTGTGACATGTGACAAGCAAGGCAATGACCCAGAGTTCTTCTCCAGCCTCACACACAGAGCTCCCCTCTCCCCTTTTTCTTCCATGCCAGGCCACTGTGAGGTTTTGCTCGTGGCCATCCCCTCACTGCTCAAATCCATCATGAGATGATAATGCACTGCAGCCACACCCAGAAGGGAGGTGCAATTGTCTGCTCACCACCATTATGATACGGAACTGAAGGATTCTAGAGCACACAAATGATAAACAACCATACTAAAAGATCAGCAGTCATCCAAAGGAGAATGGCTCATCAAACCATTGGCTTTAAGGGAATCTTCTCCCACTCCTTATCACATGCTCTGTTCCACAGAGAGGCAAAGTCTACTAAAGTCATATTTACATCTATTTCTCCCAACAAAAACACATAAAAAGTCACTCTCATATCCCCTGCCGTTCTCTCCCACAGCAACTAGAGCAGGAGACATTGGCACATCACATGTTACTAAAAAAAGGTGTTGCTAATTGGAAGTATACCCACAAATTGTTTAAATCAAGTAAAAACAAAACAAAGCAAAAAATCTGCAAGGAAACCCAAAAACATGAATCAGATCATGGAAGGCAGCATTAGAAGAATACAAGGATTCAGAGATGCTCACAGTGAATTCTTCCAGACCTTCATTGCAGGCCTTAAAATTCATCCCTGAGAGCAGCTGGAAATCACTTACGTCTCAAGGGGCAAGTGTGGCCCTGACATGCACAGCACAGCAGGATAGGGTGGTTATTTACAGAATTAGTCCTCTCCTCAGCAACTCATTCTACTGCATGGCCTGCTCACCTTGCTTGGCCACGAAGTTATGAAACCATCATTTGCACAGTTCTGAAACCATCATTTTAAAAAGCTTCTCAGCAGCGGAATTCCTCAGGTAAATCTTTTGACAATTTACAACCGATTTTCTTATTAATTCTATTTCTTATTCCCCACACAGCGCCCCGTCTGAAGCGACTGAAGTAAGGATGTGATGAAAAACATTAGTCACTGCTTCATATTGAAAAGTACCGACCAGAATTGTGAAAATGAGCTGCAACCTTCTGGGAAACAAAGGCCTGAGTGGAAGTGCAATTACACTTCTGAAGGAACTCTATATTAGTATGTAGCCTAGAGGTACAGATTATGGAGGTTTCACACAGGATTTATAAACTCATCCAGCCAAGAATTATGATTCAACATAAACAGTTACTGTGCAAAATGTTACTCTTGGAGGACTGACATTGTCTTTCATGAAAAAGACACCAGGATCAGAAAACCAATGCCTGTGCCTTGGCCACCAAGCATGAAATCAAACCATTTCTCTGCCAAACCCACACTGAGTCCCCCATTTGCCTGGCACAGAACTGAGCTCTCACCCTCCTCACTCTGCATTCACAGCCTTCAGTTTCACCATCAACACAAACCACAATTTTGGTGCCATGGTTGCCACAGAGAAAGCAACACCTTGGGGAAACATCCATTCATGAAGTTGTATTTGTTGAATGAAATATTCAAGGTCAGGCTGGCTGGGGCTCTGAGCCACGTGCTCTGGTGGAAGATGTCCCTGCCCATGGCAGAGCAGCTGCAACAAGAGACTCTTCAAGGTCCTTTGCAACACAAACCATTCTATGATTCTGTGTTTCTGGGATTCTATGACTACATGTACAGCTACAGGGAATGAATAAGAGATATTCTCCCTACTGGATAATGACATGTTTGGAGTTTGCAAGCTTGCCAGACAAATTCAGCTTTACTCCTTGACAAAAATACAAGCAAACAAACAAACACACCAAGCCAACCCTACCCAACCTCACCCAACGAAACACAACCCACCTCAACCCAAAGATATTATCCAAAGGAACTGAAATTAACCCAGCCAAGAATGGGAAAACACCAGAAGAGTATCAATCATGGCCTCACATTTCAGATTGTATCAACTGCAGTATATACAGAACCCAGGAAACCAAACTGCAACCAATACACAGGGGCCTCACACAGGAGTCACTACACAGGCCCCAGGCTGTCATTTCCTTGGATAGGAAGAGAAAGAAACGCTTGGAACCACAGCTCTGGGCCTCATCTAAACACCAGGACAAACAGAACCGGACACAATTCATTCATTCATTTTGAACTGAATCACACTGAACTCCAGCACCAGCCCTGTCTCTGCATACACAGACTTCTTCTCTCTGGCCAAACATAACATGGAAGCAAATTTTCTATACAGACATTACAGAAGAAACATTGTGTGCAGAGCATCTCAGAGCCCAAGCATCACAACTAAGATTATTCTGCTCCTACATATTACCTAAACAAGAGGGAATTGTCACACAGGCCACAAATTATTACCAGCTCTGTCAAAGACCCACACATCCAAGAATCACCTCAAAGGCAACATCACCATTCTTCAGCACATGGACTCCTCAAAGCATGTGTGACTACCACTCTTGATGCAAAGGAATATGGAACCCAAACTAGGCCATTTCAGTCCAAACCACACAATTGAAAATCATAAGACTCCTCCTGACTCATTTTCAGAAGGCCAGCAATAGCCCTGGGGATCAACAAAACACATGCCATGTCTCCACCAGAACTTCCTCACACACCATGCACCCAACACTCCCACATAAAGCCGTCACAACTCCCGTGGTTAGCAGAGACCTCCAGAATTTTGAGATACTCCATCAAAAGGAAATTTACTCAGAAAGTATCTACGTACTACTATTGATAATATTGGACATCTCACCCTAGCCATGGGACAAGAAAATTATTATTAAATAATTTATTAAAGAGATGTTCTCAAGAAAAATCTTGAAGGAAGTCTCTCTCTTTTCGCCTATAACCATGAGAGAACCATCTTCAGATGATTAGGAGAGCAAGACAGAAACTTAACATCTGCAGGACTGAAGAGCTCACAACTCTCTTCTGGGTTATATAACTCAGAGTAGATGATTGATCATAATGTTCACAGGCACTGAATACACAGCTTGCAATTCCCATACCCCATAAATACAAAATTAAGCTTTGCAGTGACACCATTACTATGGCCAACAAACACTTACTAAGGACCTGCCAGGGTTCTCCATGCAGTTGGAATACAGATCTTCTAAACAATAACTTTGGGGAGAAGAATTCCACATTCCTTCATGCAAGAGATAGAAACTGGACAGGGAATGGAGGAAAACTTTCCCTGGAGTCTTTCAGCAGACATTCACACACAGCTCACAGCACTCAGATTTCCAACCATTCAAACCATCCATGGTTTCCTTTCACCAAGATAGCTTAAAAACATGTGACATTGGGGGCCCATTTCTCCAGACCATTTCTATTCCCAGCACCAATTTCACACAGCTGTCTGTATATCTCTGTGCTGTGGAAGCTACATTTGCTGCTGACTGGAGTTCTGTGAGGAGACTTCAGAGGTCTCAGTGGAAAAGCTGAGCAGTCTTCCAAGGACATTGACTCAGTGAATATCTGCTCACAGGGAATTATGCCCACCTTGCATCTCCAACTACACCTCGAATCTCTCCTTCCCATCCAGGCAATTCTCTTGCCATGCGAAATACCTTCTACCTAAGGCTCATCCAGCACCATCTGACATAGCTCTACCTCAAACAACAAGAAAAAACCAAAGTAGTTCTGCCATTTCCTCCTCCACATGCAGCCACACACAGCCTTTTCAAAGAATCACAACTTCAAGAGGATTCTTCATCCCTATAACAGACGGACAGACATCATCAAGGACCACTTGTTGCCTGGTCAGATCCTCTCTTGGCGACAAAAACCAAAGCACCAATGACACAAACACTTTTCCTGCTACCTTCACTATGTATCATAGCAATAAAGGAGAGCAATAAAGGCTGAGAACAACGTGCACAGAGGTTCCACACAAAGCCATCGGAATTTTGTGCAACAAACATTCTACCTCTTGGAGCACACTAGCTGTTGGAATATACATCAACCTTCGAAAAAGTGTTATTTCTTAATACCATGATCCATCCCTTCAGAAGAGCTACTGCTACAAGGAACACAGATTCTACACAGGGCAGCTGGTATAGTGAAAGCAGTACCTGCAACAGGATCAAATGCCCAAATTCCGAACTCACCAACAACGTGCCAGCAGCAGCCTTATCGCTACTTCCTTCGTCATATACTAGAAGGCTGAGGACCCACCTCATGTTCACACAATGACAGCAAGGGGCTACAAAACCTCAGAACTACACCAACGGAAACCTTACCATACTTTTAGAAAAAGTCTCCGATGCAAGCCAGAGAACACGGCGGGGAAAGGGCAGGGCAGCATCACAAGAAAGCGTCGCGGAGAAAATTTGGAAAAAGGAACTCACCGAGGGAGGGATGGGGTCCGAGGGGAGGGCGCCGGCCGGGTCCCCGTCCCCGAGCAGCGGCGCGGGCTCGTCGGGCGGCGGCCGGGCCGGGAGGGTGTCGCAGCAGCTGGCGGCCGAGAAGCGCAGGTGGCTCTTGCGCGAGTCGGCCGTGAGCGACACGTCGTGCGAGTAGGACCGCAGGAAGGCGCGCACGCCGTCGATGCCCACGAAGTGCGAGACGGGCACGCCGCGCGAGGCGCCGCCGTCCGGCGGCAGCAGCTGCCGGCGGTGGCAGCGGCGCAGGCGCAGCGCCAGCAGCAGCAGCAGGAAGGCCACGAAGAGGCACGAGACGGCGGCCACGGCCAGCACGAGCCAGCGCGTCAGGCTGGCGGCCGGCTCGCCCGGCGCCGCCGCCTCGTGCGCCGCGCCGCCCAGCTCGGCCAGCAGCTCGGCCACGCTCTCGGCCAGCACCACGCTCAGCGTGGCCGTGGCCGACAGCGCCGGCCGCCCGTGGTCCCGCACCAGCACCACCAGGCTGTGGCGTGCCGCGTCGCGGGCCAGCAGCGAGCGCGCCGTGCGCACCTCGCCGCTGTGCGGCCCCACGCGGAACAGCCCCGGCTCCGTGGCCTTGGCCAGCTCGTAGGACAGCCACGCGTTCTGCCCCGCGTCCGCGTCCACCGCCACCACCTTGGCCACCAGCGCGCCGGCCTCCGACCAACGCGGCGCCAGCTCCACGCCCGACCACGCCGCCGCTGCGGCCGCCGGCGGGTACAGCACCTGCGGCGCGTTGTCGTTCTCGTCCACGATCTGCAGCCGCACCGACACGTTGCTGCTCAGCGCCGGCGCGCCGCCGTCCTCCGCCCGCACGCACAGCTGCAGCTCGCGCAGCTGCTCGTAGTCCAAGGAGCGCAGCGCGTACAGCGCGCCCGTCTCCGCCTGCACCGACACGTACGACGACAGCGGCGCGCCCCGCATCCGCCCCTCCGCCAGCCGGTAGCGCACGCGCGCGTTCTGCCCCCAGTCCGCGTCCGTGGCGCGCACCGTCAGCACCAGCGCGCCCGCCGCGTTGTTCTCCGCCAGCCGCGCGCTGTAGCGCTCCTCCGCGAACACCGGTGCGTTGTCGTTCACGTCCAGCACCTGCAGCGCCACCACCGCGCTGCTCTGCAGCGACGGCGACCCGCCGTCGGCCGCCCGCACCGTCACGTTGTACTCCGACACCTGCTCCCGGTCCAGCTCTCTCGCTGTCACCACACGGTAGTAGTCTTCATAGGACTTTTCCAGCCGGAACGGGACGTCCTTGTCGATCGAGCAGCGGACATCACCGTTTGCCCCCGAGTCCCGGTCCTGCACATGTAAGAGTGCGACAATAGTTCCCGGAGGGGCATCCTCCGAGATCTCATTAAGAGCCGACCTCACCGAAATCTTGGGCACGTTGTCATTGACATCGGTCACAGTGATCACGACTTTTGCAGTATCAAAGAGCTCTCCTCCGTCATGTGCCTGAACCTCAAGTTCGTGGGAGGAGATTTCCTCGAAATCCAAGTCGTCATTAAGAGTTATTTCTCCTTTCTCAGAGTCGAGATTAAAAAGTTCTGAGGCTCGGTCTGAAATTTTATGGAAGCTGTATTTCACCTGCCCGTTCAGACCCTCGTCGGCGTCCGTAGCTGTGACGATGACGAGGACAGAGCCCACGGGCACGTCCTCGGGCACACGCACCGTGTACTCCGCCTGGCTGAACACGGGCGCGTTGTCGTTCGCGTCCAGCACCGTCACGCGGATCCGAGCCGTGCCCGTCCGTGCCGGATCGCCGCCGTCCATCGCCCTCAGCACCAGCTCGTGAAACGCCGCTTCCTCCCGGTCCAGCGCCTTGGCCACCACCAGCTCGGGACGCTGATCGCCGCCGGGGCCCGCCTGCACGGCCAGCGAGAAGTGCTCGTCACCGCTCAGCTCGTAGCTCTGCAGCGAATTCCGGCCCGAGTCAGGGTCGTGAGCCTCGGCCAGGGGAAACCGCGACCCTGGGGCTGCCGTCTCACTCATTCTCAGTTCTTTTCCTGCCTGTCGAAAGCTCGGAGCGTTGTCGTTAATGTCCGTGATTTCTATTTCGATTCCATAAACCTGCATCTGTCCCTCCACTATCAGCTCACAGCGCAGCACGCATTTCTCCACCAGCCGGCACAGCTGCTCTCTGTCGATCCTCTGTGCCGTCACTAAGTGTCCCGTCTTCCCGTGCAGAGTGAAATACTGCGTCGTACTTTCAGAGACAACACGGACGGCATTATCGCTGATCTCCGGCAGCTGCAGCCCCAGGTCCTTGGCCGCGTCGCCCACGAACGAGCCCTTGGGCATCTCCTCGGGCACCGAGTAGCGCAGCTGCCCCCACGCCGCCTCCCACGCCGCCAGCAGCACGGCCCAGAGCAGAGCTCGCTGCCGCCGGCCCCAGCGCCTCCCCGCCGCGCACATCTCCACAGCGGCACCGCAACACCGTCGGGAGCTTTCCTCCGCCGCTCACCGATTTGGCTCACGGTGTAGCTCCGGCGCTCTTCTCCCGGCCGCTCCTGCCAGGCCCTTCCGATCCCTTTCAGCACGTCTCCGCGGTGCGGGGATGATCCCAGACTGCTCCACCGCGACTCACACACACCGGGACGGCGAGCGAGCCGGGCCGCAGCGGGCGGGGCTGCAGCGCTCCGAGCTTCCTCTCGGTCAACAGCGGCGCCCGCAGCCCCCTGCCGGCACTGCAGGCACGCAGCGAAATGCAATGTATTTATTTTAATACGACGGACGGTGTATTACGAGTCCTAACACAGTTATATAAACCCAGAATTTTCATCCCAAATATTTGTAGAAAATATGATGGAATGCCCGGCGCAAGGGTAGCAAAAGAAAGCCGTCTCTGATATTTAGTTGTAGGTTACTTCCTGACTCTGTGCCGACTCTATTTACAGCTACCCAGGAGGCAGGAAAGCACATGAAATGAACCTGTCCAGTTTATACAATTATATTCAATCAGGTCATTCTATAACCCCAGGAAGAGTCTTTTCTCAGAAATTAAGATATAAAGGGTTGACACTCATTAGCAAAACCTTGTTCTAATTATTGTGTATTTATATTAGCTATGGCACATTTTAAACAAAATACTTTAAGGCAGCACATGTAAAGAGAAGTACAGCTGCACACCTTAGACTCTCATGGTCTTTGATAAACTTTCAAGTATAGCTGATTCAAGTGCCTAAAGTGTCAATTGGCGAATCTCCTACACATCTTGAATTTTAGACCCTTATTATCCTTTTAAACACACATTGATAAGAAATACTGGAGAGGGAGGGGTGGTAGGGGAACCGACAAACAAGCAAAGAAACAAAACCCCTAAGAGAACGAATTCTCTGTACAGGGCCAAAACTCCTCTCCTTTTATAAAAAGATAAGAAAAGAGGCTCTGAAACAAACAAACAAAACCCCACAACGATATTTCCCCCCGTTTGAGACCTCAATCTTCTTTTACACCTGTGTATGGAGGCAATATTAGGAATGGTTAAAAAAAAAAGAAGTGGGAACTCCCAGGAGGAATGGAAAAAGAAAACTAATGAAATTAACTCGCCCCACTAATGGTACCAGTCCTGCCATTGCTGCAACAGTGTTAACGCAAAAGAGGACGGTCAGTCTCTTCTTTTACTCCGGATGGAGATCTGGTCACTTTTCTATCCATGAGAAACGTCTTTCTGGAGTCTAAGACCGAAAACGTGTTAAACAAGGAGTATGTGGCCAGCTTTTAACCAGGTCCCAAGATACACTTTCAAGATAAACAGACCACTAAGGAAAAATCTGCAGCAGCTAGTATCTGCATTATTTCCCTGATTCCTTCATGAAGAACCACGAATATCCTGCACTCTTATGATTCTCCATCGCAGTTATTCATTAATACGATTTTAGTCAGCTGAAGAGATGCAGACAAAACCTCTTAGAGGAATCGGAAGCTGTGGTCACCGAGAATCAAGTGCTATGACTAATTGCCTGTTCTTAGAAGAAGAAATCATCCAGTTCTTTCATCCCTTCTCGGAGAGGTGGACCAGCCATTCCCACCTACACTAGCAGGGGAAACCCAAGGAAAAGAGAGCAACGGTTTGTATAGATCCAAGGGGAACAGCAGGAAAGAGAAGAGAGGAACTTGCGGCTCTGCAGAAAGAACTGCAGAGAAAAATAATGACTGGAATAATTAAGCAACATCGCCTATCACTCCTGAAGACAACGTATCCCCAAATACACTCGACACTCTTCCAGAAGGGAGAAACAACCTGTAGTTTCTCCTTTCGTGTTGAAAATACACACATCTCAGGAAAAACCCCAAATAACAAGCAAACACATGCCCCATCCTACCAACAAACCAAAAGTACTCATTCCCTTTATTGAACTATGTCACGCAGCATCATCAGATCTCTTTCTGCAGAGTAGAATCCGCATTCTTCATTGAACTGACAAATAATTGTTAAAAAAACCTTTGAAAACTCATGACTGGGAAGTATTCATCCATCCCATAAATGCTGCCTTTTTAGAGCAGCATTCTCTCAAAACATGGGACACTACACAGAAATTTTGGAAACAGGATTAATACACAGGTTTGCATCAGACAAAGAATAACAGGGGGAAAAAAACAGTCAGCCTCACTAGACCTACAATATGTGAAGCAGCCCCCTTTAAAAAAACGGAGGGGCAAGCAGAAGACGGTTAGAACAACATACAACTTCTCAACCATTAGAGCCAGATGCGAGTTCCCTTTGTGAGTAAATACGGAAATAGTATAGCCCAACAGATTATGTCCAGATCTCGACAAAGGTATCAATCCAGGGGAAAAGAGAAAGCCTGTTAAGAAAGTCTCAAGAAAACAGCTTACGGTTTCACAGACCTGCGGTGCGTCGGGATTGGCAGGCACCTCTCCCTCGACAGCGCTGCTATTGGAGCTCTGCTTCTCCAAGGGCTCCCCGCCCAGGAGCTCCTCCGCCGACAGGATGGGCACCGGCGGCGGCGGCGGCCAAGCGGCCTCGGGCACGGCGCGGGCGGGCGGCGGCACGCACAGGTTGTAGGAGTAGGGCAAGGTGCCCTCGCAGAAGTCGGCCGGGAAGGCGGCGCCGGCCAGCGAGAAGCGCTGCGCGCCCAGGCAGCGCAGCCCGGCGGGCGGCCCGGCCCGGCGCAGCCGCGCCACCACGGCCAGCGCCACGCTCAGCACCAAGAGCGCCGAGAGCAGCGCCAGCGCCAGCACCAGGTAGAACTGCAGCTCGGCCGCCGCCGCCGCCTCGGCGCCCGCCGGCCGCTCGCTCAGCTCCGGCAGCGCCTCCTGCAAGCTCTCGGCCAGCACCACGTGCAGCGTGGCCGTGGCCGACAGCGCCGGCTGCCCGTGGTCCTTCACCACGGCCACCAGCCGCTGCTTGGCCGCGTCCCGCTCGCCCACGGCGCGCGCCGTGCGCACCTCGCCGCTGTGCAGCCCCACGCGGAACAGCGCCGGCTCCGACGCCTGCACCAGCTCGTACGACAGCCACGCGTTGCGCCCCGCGTCCGCGTCCACCGCCACCACCTTGGCCACCAGGTAGCCGGCCTCGGCCGAGCGCGGAACCACCTCGAAAGGCGCCGCCGCCGCCCCTCCCGCAGCCTCTCCCGGCCCGGCCGCCGCCGCGGGCCAGAGCACCCTGGGCGCGTTGTCGTTGCGGTCCAGCACGAAGACGCGCACCGTGGCCGTGGAGCTGCGCGCCGGCGAGCCGCCGTCCTGCGCCCGCACGGCCACCGTGAACTCGCGGCACTGCTCGTAGTCCAAGGAGCGCTGCGCGTACAGCGCGCCGCTCCGCGCCTCCACCGACACCAGCGGCGCCGCGCCCGCCGCGCCCGCGCTGCCGCCCGCCAGCCAGTAGCTCACGCGCCCGTTGGCGCCCGCGTCCGCGTCCCGCGCCTGCACGCGCAGCACCAGCGCGCCCGCCGCGTTGTTCTCCGCCACGTACGCGCTGTACGCCGCCTCCTCGAACACCGGCGCGTTGTCGTTCACGTCCGACACCTCCAGCACCAGCTCCCTGCTGCTCCGCAGCGCCGGCCTGCCCCGGTCCCGGGCCACCACCGACACGCGATGCTCCGACGCCTGCTCGCGGTCCAGCGCGCCCGATGTCACCACCTTGTACGAGCCGCCCGACGACGCCACGATCGACAGCGGCGCCTCTCCCGACAGCTCGCACGACACTTGACCGTTCTCACCGGAGTCCAGGTCATTTACGTTCAAGAGAGCCACTAGTGTCCCGACAGGTGCGTCCTCAGGCACCGGGTTCGAGAGCGACAGAATGGTGATCTCAGGAGGATTGTCATTCACATCCAGCACCTCTACTTCCACCTTGCAGTGCGCCACCAAACCCCCTCCATCCATCGCCTCCACAGCCAGGCTGAACGCGCGCGTGTCCTCGAAATCCAGCGCCTCCTGCAGCGTGATTGTCCCCCTTTGGGCATCTACTGTGAACTTCTGAAGCACCTTAGCCGGCATTTCTCCGCAGCCGTAAGTGATGTAGGCGTTGGTGCCTGCATCTGCGTCTGAGGCTGACACGTTCAGCACCGTCGATCCTGGAGGCGTGTCCTCGCGCAGGCTGACGCGGTACCGGTCCTGAGCGAACACGGGTGGGTTGTCATTGGCGTCCGTGACGTTGATCCACAGCTGGGCGGTGCCAGTCCGGGGCGGGTCTCCGCCATCCAGCGCCGTCAGCGTCAGCCGCAAGCTCGGCTCGCTCTCACGGTCCAGTGAGTGGCGCAGCACCAACTCCGCGGATTTGCTGCCGTCTTGGCTCTCCTTCACCTCCACCGTAAAATACTTGTTTGTCTCCAGCTCAAAGCCCTGCAGCGAGTTACTACCCACGTCCGGATCCTCGGCCATGCCCAAGTAAAAACGAGCACCGGGAGAAGTAAACTCGTTAATCTCCAGCTGAAATTTGTCTCGCAGAAAGCGCGGTGTGTTGTCATTCACGTCCTCGATGGACACCTCGACGTGGAAAACGTTCAGCGGGTTGTGCACCAGCACCTCGAAGCTGACGGAGCAGGTCGCCGACTCGCCGCACATCTCCTCCCGGTCCAGCCTCTCGTTCACGTACAGGTTCCCGTTCTCCTCATTCACCCTGAAGTATTTCAGCTGCTTCTTGCCGCCAGACGCCACCTGCAGCTTGCGCGCCGGCAGCTCGTCCGCGCTGAGCCCCAGGTCCCGCGCCAGCGGCCCCACGAGCGAGCCTCTGCCCAGCTCCTCGGCGATGGCGTAGCGGACCCGCTCGGCCGCCGCCAGGCACCACACGCACAGCAGCAGCAGCAGCGCGCTCAGCAGCGCTCGCCCGCCGCCCGGCCCAAGCCTCTGCCGCCGCCTCACCGCCATTCTCTGCCCGCTGCGCTCGCCGCGCTCCTGCCTCCTGCCGCTGCCCTGCCTCCCTTCCAGCCGCTCTCGCCGACCACAACAGACACCGCTCAAAGCCACGCACACCGCTCGGGCCGCCTCTCGCCGCCGCCGCTGCTGCTGTCGGTGCCGCTGCGGCCGGCGCCGCGCGAGCGAGCAGCCTGCGGGGGCAGGACGCTGCGGCGGCGGCGGCTCCAGCGGCGCTCGGCGGCGGCCAACAGCGACACCCGGAGGCGCCGCCGCGACACTGCAGCCGCCGCACGGCCGCGCTCAAGGCCGCCCGGCTTTGGGCGGGGCTCAGCGCCTGCACCGGCCCCGGGGGCTCTCCCCGACCAAAAACACCGAGAGCGGGAGCTCCTGCTTAACGACAAGTAGGAACTCTTATGATTACAGCAGCAATATGCGCGTAATAACGATTTAATTATTTGTAGCTGCAATAGACATGGAAACATGTATTACACCTTATCAAAGATTTTTTGCCCTCTCTGGTTAAAATGACACGAAAATCCGAAACCAAATATGTGTTCCAAAATTACAGATCGGTTCTCTCATGCACGGTCAAAGAACTGAAGCCAAAATCTGAAAAGAAGATTGCTGAGATGCTTTAGAATTTAATTGTTCCAGTGGTACCCTAGATATTGTTAGCCCATCATCTGTGCAAAAGCCGTGTTAATCTAAAGGACTTTTATCCAGTGATTAACAACTGCAGAAAAACGTGAAGTCCAGAAGCAATGGATGTGCTCTCAGATGAAAGGCAGTGTACATACATACCTGGCAGAGAATAAAAAACTGCAAAGCAGTGCAGACTCTGCCATGTGTCCATCCTTACACTGACTCTCCTTCCACCCAGAAAACCTTCTGTGCTTTTGGTGGAAACTCAAAAATTAGGCCTGCTACAATAACTGATTTAATATTTCCATTGTTTTGATTTTCCTAACCTGTAGGCCAAACTCTCAACATCTCCCCAATCCGTTTTAGGAGTGCAAAATCAGCTGAATGGTTTTCAGTTAATTCTGAAGATTCATATACAAACCCCAAACTTCCTTTTGACCTCATCAGAGAGGGGGAGATATTTCAGTGCTGGTATTTTCTGGTGCTTTACTACAACACATACGTAAAAATTCTTACCCAGAACATCTGGAAACTCACTGAGGCCTCAAGGTGCAAGCTGGCAAGCTGGAGGAATATTAAAGTACTATGAGGTCTCTCTGACTGGACTAAATGACTTTGGTAAGCAGCAGAACAACAGAAATCCTTGGCCCTTGTTAAATCAAAGAAGCTAAGCCAAATACCTCCCACTGCCGTACACGGGGGAATCATTGGCTATTGTGACACCTCAGGGCCTGTGCGGTGCAGGAAACCACAGAGAGCAGCGCGTAGCGGTGTAGACCTCAGACCTCAACAAGAATTCCCAGGTAAGTGGAATTGGACAGCAGCATGTTACAGCTACCCACTGGAGTTAAGCAATTTCTCATTTTCCTCACACACGACATTGTCTCTTCATTTGGTTCTCAATGACAGTTACTATTTCCTGCAAAGCAGCACTCACAAGTGGAAAGGAAACATGAACCATGGCCTTCCAGGAAACAGAGCCTGAATTGAGATCCAAGGTGGAAAACCTAATTGCCACTCTCATGAACTCTTTATCAAACTATGCACTTCCCCTCTTTTATCACATGCATGGATCCACAAAGGTGCCACTGCTCCTAAGGCCATTTTTACATCTCTTAACATATGACAAAATTCGAACCCAGATGTACCCCCCTCACATGTCCTCATTCCACGTCAGCTGTAATAACATGTCAAGGAAAAAAAAACACACCAGCAATGCAGGGGTGCATTAGGAGTGTTTTCACAGAAACTCACCAGGAGGAAATCTCAGGCCTCTCTGTGTCCCAGGAAATTTATTTCCAAGAGCACCTGGAATCCACTGAAGTCTCAGGCTGGAAGAGAGACCTTGAAATCTTGTTCTGGACTTCCAGTGTGGCTTAATTTCATTAAACTCTCAAGAGTTCTAATCAGCTTTTCTACTATGTGGCCTGCTCCTCCCCCACAGGTTCGAAGGCCCAAGTTTGTAGGCCCAACTTTCAAGGCCTAAGCTTAAGGGCCTCAGCTTGAAGGCCTCAGTTTGAAGGCCTAACTTCTGTCAGCTGTAACAGGTACAACAGAAACATATCAAATATCTAGAGGTAAGGCACTCCAAGTAATTCCTTTGGAGAAGAAGCAAAGAAAAATGCACAGAGCCATAACTATGTGATCCATATAACAGCTAGGGAAAACTAACTATTCACACCAGCACTTTCGATATTTCAGCAACTCTTCCCCGAGCCCTGTCTCTGCACAGGCAGAATGCTCAGACATCACCCAACAGGGACCCCTTTGCAGATAGACACCACTGGAAGAAGTTTTCCACACAACTTCTCCTTATGGAGAGCAGGGATCACAACACAGGTTCACACATATGGACTCTGCTCATCACTGATACTTGAAGAAATGTAACATGTCTAAACAGTCATAAGCCATATGCAGCTTAGCTAAAGACTCAGATCAGAATCACCTCAAAGATGTCTTCATTCTTCCTAAGCACATAGACAGTTTTGAATATCTATCACTTTGGAATCATTAATGTGAAGTTTATGCCTACATCCAAAAGCTACCACTCAGTGAAGAGCTGTATCAGACATGACAGAGGAAAAAATGAGTGACTTTCTGGCATGTGCTTCAAGTAAAATGCCCCAAACCCAGACTTTGCTGCTAAATTAGACTCTCCCATCCCTACAATCCTACAAATTTCAACACCAACAAAACACCACCAGTAACATCAACATGCAAGAGCCATTAATAACATCTAAAGGTTTGCTGAAAACTTGGAAAAGCTTAGTACAAACACAGTGAAACTCTACAGCACAACTGTAACAAGGACATGTACCTGGGGCAATGACATTTCCCACAGCATTTCTTAGACACAGAAACCTGAAGCATGCACTTCCCTGGCCATTGTTTGCAGACAAATTCATTGGAGGATTCCCATCCTTTTCTGGACACAGGAAAAGGGCACTTGGTCAAAGTGGCACAGGCCTTGCCACACCCAGATGAGAGGATCACAGAATCCCACTTTGCCTGCTGAGGGGCCAGTCTCTCCCTGGGAACAATCTCTCCCTCACTGTTCAACATGAGTAGGTTACAAGTAAGATCAGTGACTCTAGAGACATTCCCAGATAGAGTTTTAGACACATACAGGCCCACCTTTACCTGGTCATGACAAACAAGTCAGCAGTTTAATTATCCTTCACAGAGAGCAACCATTACAGGAAAGCAAATGTATTAATCCACAGCTTGGCCATTTATAATGTGAACATGTTCACTTTATGTAGTCCAGCAATGGACCATGGAAGTTAAAAACACCTGTTTTCTATGCAACAGTGCTCCCTTACATACTGACACTCCTGAAACTCGTTACAGATTTTTTGGTTCTCTCTAATCTTTACCATTAGCAGAGTAACTCAACTGCAAGAAATTTGCAGAGATAACTTACCATGGCTAAAATTTAACTTGTTAACATGTGCAAGTGAGAAATACGACAATTGCTCCCATTAAAAATTTAAGGAAACGCATCTATGAATATGTTAGTAAAAATGAAAGGCATGTATGGGACAAATATAAGAGATGTGACCAGATAGTACCAGATACAAAGGTCCATCTATACAAAGAACAAGAGAAGAAGATAACATCTGCAGATGTGAAGGAACCACACTCATCTAGAGTAGGGCTCTTGGAGAAAATACATAATCTAGATATTAAAAGTAGGGATGTAATAAATGTCCTTATTGCAAAGCTCCTATTGTGAGATTTATAATTAGAATATATAAGACTATTAAATACATATATTGGTTGTACATTAAGTACATTACAATAACTTGTAAACACACATGTTCTCAATAGATCTTCAGAAGTATCTGTTAAGCCACACATAATTGGGAAGGAGAAAACTGCATTACATTATATTACAGATCAACACTGAAAAGCCATCCTTATCTCTCTTATCTTATCTATCTTGTCTACCTTATCTTATCATCTTATCTCTTAACAGTCATTGACACGCAGAGGTCACTATTTGCATCTCCTGCCTATAAAATCCTGCATGTTGTGTCACGACCTTGGTACGTGGACAGCAGCTTCCATCAAAATATCAGATATTCAGAAGGTTTCCCTTGAACATGCACCAGGATAAACTACAGCCTTCAAACAGGTATCTCTACAGCTCTGTACTAAGAGGGAAGAAATATCTGTCTGCCAAATACAACTCAGAGAAGGAGCGGGAAGGAGGTGAAACACTACCTGTCCTTCAAAAGATACGAAGGCAGCAAGGATCATATGATAAAGAAAAAACTTCATTTTAAAAGCCCTCCAGCCAAGAGAAGTCTTCCTTATCATGTCTCCGTCACAAAATGGAAAGCCAAGACCCGACCACCTTTCCACCTTGGTGTAGCAAGAAGCCACGCGATCAGCACGGCCCTAAAAGACACTTGGCGTTCCATGTCGGAAAAGAGTAGAGAAGCAATACAAGGGAGAAGAGTGGATAAAAATTGGTACGGAGAACTCACCGGGACGGAGGCGGGATCCGCGGGGAGGGCGCCGGCCGGGTCCTCGTCGCCGAGCAGCGGCGCGGGCTCGTCGGGCGGCGGCCGGGCCGGGAGGGTGTCGCAGCAGCTGGCGGCCGAGAAGCGCAGGTGGCTCTTGCGCGAGTCGGCCGTGAGCGACACGTCGTGCGAGTAGGACCGCAGGAAGGCGCGCACGCCGTCGATGCCCACGAAGTGCGAGACGGGCACGCCGCGCGAGGCGCCGCCGTCCGGCGGCAGCAGCTGCCGGCGGTGGCAGCGGCGCAGGCGCAGCGCCAGCAGCAGCAGCAGGAAGGCCACGAAGAGGCACGAGACGGCGGCCACGGCCAGCACGAGCCAGCGCGTCAGGCTGGCGGCCGGCTC